GTCAGGATTCAAGAGAGATTATATCCGTCCATTGAAGAATCCATTGCTTCCTACACGAGCAAAATAATCGCTTCCAACCGCTGTGTCCCTCAGGACTTTCTCTTTTTATCAGCGGTTGAAAGAAGCGATTAGTATAGCTCGTGAGAAGACAATGGATTGATCACCGGTAATTTCCTCTCCTTTCTTGTGTTTAATATTATCTCATCATCAGGATGAGTTTAAACACAAGAAAGGAAAGGAAATTTGTACCGGTGATCGTCTCTTGATCCGGGGCATAATCTCTTTTTCTTTTCTTTAAAAGTGGCGTGTCCCTCAGGACAATCGTTCGCCACTTTTAATAGAAGAAAAGAAAAAAGAGATGCCCGGATCAAGAGACTGAATCTCTCTTATGCTGGCCCATGAGCCCGTTCCTTTTTCATTTTTTATTTTGGGCTCATGATATGGCCAGCATTTAAGAGAGATTCGATTCCTGAACCTAAGAAATGAATTGATGACTCACGAGCAAGATGCATTCATCCTCAAGATGAAGCTCGTGACTATTCATCAATCATTTTCTTAGGAATTCAGGAATCCATTGAGACACGATCTTACTGCTGGCATCTTATCACCGGTTAAGCTCTTGAAGAGCGTGTCTTTACCCGGTGATCAAGAAGATGCCAGCGATCGTGTCTCAATCTTTCCTTTATGAAAAGAAAAATGGAAATCTATTGTGGGCTACTTTCTTGATCTCTTTATTATGCCCACAATATTAGATTGCCTTTTTCTCTTTCATAAATGAAAGGAATCCATTGTCTTCACGAGCTTCCAGAAGAGCCTTTGAGGGCTCAGCTCGTGACAATGGATTCGATCCGTCTTGTAGAAGCGCTTTCTTCAGCTTCAGGCTGAACGCTTCTAGACGGATCATGTGGGCCCAGCGTAGCTGTCATCTGAAGATGAGGCCCACATCATTTCCTTTAATTATTTCTTTTATGAAAATGGAATTTTGGTGGCTGAACGAAGTTCTTCAGGAACGAGCCACCATTCCATTTTCAAAAAGAAAGTAAAGGAAATGATTGTCTCTTAAAGAAATATGATTATACACGGTCCTATGTCTTTAATCTCTTTTATTTATGTGGCCACCATGGGCTTTTCTTTCTTATGATTGTGCCAATGATTGTGTGGCCACATAAAAAGAGAATTAAAGACGGACCGTGAATCATTTTCTTTTAAGAGACGGAATCCATAAGTTCACGAGCATTATTCAATCACGATTGTCTTTTTTTAAGTGATTGAGCTCGTGAACATGGATTCCAATCCCTTTCCATAACCGTCGGTCCATTAAGAGCTCCTCACGGTTCTTCTTTTAAGAGCTCTTGACCGACGGTTGGAAAGGAATCTTCATCACGAGATCCGAGATCACACATTTCTTTATGAAAAGTTTATAACCAGACGGTTAGAGCCTCAGCTCAATAATGATCCGTCTGTTAACTTTTCATAAAAGAAATTGTGGATCTGTGGATCAATATCGTGATGAAGGAAAAGAAATTATAAATTTAATAATTACGTCCTCCTTGTCCTTTCCTTTCTCATTTATATCAATTGTGTTTTCATTCCCTTTTCACAATTGATTAAGAGAAAGGAAAGGAACTGAGGAGGACGTATTAAATTTAATTTCTTTTCATCCAGTATCTGGGGCTTGCAGCAGCGTAACGCTCTGTGCGGTCAGCATTTGAGGCTGAGCAATCGAAGATTGCCCGCACGATGGCCATCAGGCCATCCTCGAGTATAGCTCCGCAGGACCCTAGAAATATAATCTCAAGATCAGGAATATAATCCCATGTCCTTAAAGGAAAAGATTATTAAAGTTCTTCTCTTTGATTCCAAGGCATGGATTTAAGCTGGACAGATTTCCATTTCCTTTACAGCCATTTCCTGGCTTAACCGTTAACGGTTGTTAAAGAACTTCCTGATGATTGATACCTTTCTATGGGTCTCCTTCAGGAGAATAACATTCCATGCCTGTAGATCTCTTCCTGTAGATGGTTCCTGAGGTTCTTGAATTCTTTATTCACAGTGAGTTTCTTGGTTTCCTGTGGTTCTGTTTCATTATCTCCTAATAAGATCTTGGTTCTTTTCATTCCTGTGATTCTAACAGCCAGTAATTAATGATCTCATGGCTATTACTTCTTTTTCTCATTGGTTTATAGTTGTCATTAAAAATTATTCATATTCTTTATGGTCATCCATTATCTTCTAGCATCTGGCTATTATTTATGGGCTAATTCGTACCTTAATAATCTTTGGGCTATACAAAATCTTCTTTCACTTCCTATATCTTTTCTCTAATCCCAGAAGTTTTGGAAGTTTTGGTTTCAATATCTGATTCTCTCTTGTAAAAATGTAATTTTCTTATCTTTCTTTTCTCTTTACCACCATTGGTTTATTTTTAGGAATTCAATATTTTATGGTCGTAACAACTTAAATTTCTTATTTACATTTCTTTACATTTAATATTTTATCAGATCTTATTTCTGGGGATTGAGACACTTATTTTCCTGTCGTAACAACTATCTTTCTTTTCAGCATTCATTATCTTACGTTCATTATCATTATTAATATTTGGTTTTCTTGATTATCACTCTTCTTTTTGGTCTCTTAAATTATTTTCTTACAATTATTTTCTTTCTTTAAGGAATTTGGGGATTATTTTTGGGTTTTCAATCGTCAAGCATTGGGTTTTTTCATTAATAACTTCTTGTCTTTACATATTATCTTATATCTAGGGATTATAACACTCATCTTCTAGATCTTTTCTCTTTTCTCTTTTCATGGGTTTGCATTTTGGTTTATCATATCATTTCATTTCTAATCTTTTCTAATCATTTCTTCTCTCCAGTTTCAATCTTATATTTCTTACATTTAGTATCTTGAGTTTATGGTCCTTAATGGTCAATGGTTTCCAATGGTTTATATTTTGTCTTTACAATTTTCTTTTTTACTGGCATGAGAGTAGCTCTAGGTTATCTTTCTTGATTCCCACAGCAGTGGGTTTACAAATTGGTTTTTCATTTCATTACGTTTACTTCTTTGCATTACTTTTTTCTTACAGGATTACATTACTTTCATCTTCTCCTTGGTGTTCTTCTTTTTTGTCTTCTTCTTTGGAGTTGTAGTTTTTCTTTTTCTTTAGCAACTCCAAAGAAAAGAGAAGACAAAAAGAAAAGAAGAACACCAGATGATGGAGAAGATTATTGAAAGAAATGAATCATAAAGAAAAAAGATAATAAGAGAAGCCTTGGGATACATTCTTTTCATTTCTTCAAAGGAGAAGGGAAGCATATGTTGGATTCATAATTCCTTTCTAATTTTCATTCTTAATTAATTTTCCTCTCTCTTTCTATTTTAATTTGTTGTTTAACAATTTCTTTTACAACAAATTAAAATTAGAGAAAGAGAGAATGGGAAAATTAATGAATGAAAATTATATGGCGGGTATCTAACATCAGCTCCCTTATCCTTTCTCTTGAGCCTCAATGTCTGGCTCTTAAGAGCCCACAGTAAAGACATGAGGCTCAAAGAGAGAAAGGAAGTGAAGCTGATATACCCGACATAGAAAGAGAAGCTTCTAATGTTATCACTTGGTTCCACAGGGTTCCAATCTCCTTTTCCTTATCCTGTGGAACCAGTAAGTGATAACAGAAGCTTCTCTTTCAAGAGATGTCCAAACAATATTCTTCTTTCTCTTAATGATCCACCGTTACTTTTCTTTTTTATTTGGTGGATCAAGAGAAAGAAAGAAATTGTTTTCAAGGACATCTCTTTTTCCCTTTATCAATCTCTTATTTTTGATCTCTTTTCTTCTCTTAATTAATCACAATTAATTATGAAAGAGAAGAAATTAAGAGATCAAAAAAGAGATTGTTAATAAAGGGAAAAGAGAAGACAGGAGGTTTATTATAATATTTTCTTCTAAATGAATTCTTCTGAAAGAAAATAGAATTCATTATTAAGAAGAAAATATTTAAACCTCCTGATGAACGAAGTTATGATCCTCTTACTGGCGGGCTTAACCGGCATATGCCGGCTCTTTCAGAGTTAAGCACCGCCAGTGGAAGGATCACTTCGTTCATAAAGAAAGAGTTTCGATTTCTTCTTCAAAATGAATTTTCTTTATCACTTTCATTCATTTTGATAAAGAAGAAATCTTAAAACTCTTTCTTGATTCCTGATCGAATCTTGATTGAAAATGGCGGATCATCGATCGCCTGATGCGATCCCGCCATCAATCAAGATTTCTTCCTTCAGGAAGACGATCAGGAATCGATTCCCTGCCTTCGATGAATCAGCTCGTCCATTAATTGTGGCCTGACGATCGCTTAACCGATCGCCACAATTAATGCTGACGAGCTCATCGAAGGCTTGGGAATCGTCATCTCTTGAATCATTAATCCTCCCCACATCTGCTGTCATATAATCTTTCCTTCTTAATGGAAAGATGACAGCAGATGACCGGGGAGGATTAATACAAGAGATGATGAAAGAAGAATTCAGGAGATCCAACAGATCCAGCAGCACTTCCTCTCTTTATTTATGTGCTGCTAGATGGATCTGTTGATGGATCTCCTTTCATGGAATTCTTCTTTCTAATGGCTCTTCTTGATTACAATCTCCTGTGATCTTCTCTCTTATGAAAAGAGAGAACGTGAAGATCATCTGGAGATTGTAATGAAGAGCCATAGATCCCGCATCTATTCTTTCTTTTTCATCAAGAAAAAGAGAATATGATGATGCGGGATCTCTTTCCTGTGACACAAATCGTGTATTTTAACCGGTTGGAAGAGCTGTCCATCAGGACTTGTTTCGCTCTTCCCGATCAACCGGTTAAACACGATTAGTCACAGGAAAGAATGTGGGCACCATTAATCGAAGGCCTGATCAAGAGACGGTCCTGAAGGACATATAAGCGTCTCTTTCTTTCAGGCCTACGATTGTGCCCACATTAGATCCGTGCGATGATGGTCCTATGATCCTGAATGAAGAGCTGCGCTGTAGCGCCAACCTGATGTTGAGCTCTTCATCATGATCAGGACCATTGGATCGCACGGATCATTCCTTTGCAAGATCAGATCCAGACAAAAGAGCTTCATTTTCTCTTTGCAGAGAAGCTCTGTCTGGATCGCTTGCAAAGGAATGGTGGCCATCAGGGCCACAGACACGCTCTTATAAAGAAAAGAAAGAGGAAAACTGGCATCTGCAGATGCAATCATAGTTTTCCCTTTTCTTTCTTTTCTTTTATTAGGAGCGTGTCTTCTTTTCCTTTCTTCTTTGAGCCTCCAACATTCTCTTTCATTTGATGGCCTCATCATACGAGCTTACAGCTCAGGCCATCAATGAAAAGGAGAATGTGGGGCTCAAAGGAAAAGAAAGGAAAAGGATGACCTGCAGGTCATCAAAAGAGTTCCTGGACGAGCTATCAAATGAAACGCAAGTGATGAAAGCGTTTCAGCTCGTCCATAAGAACTCATTTTGATTGATCTGCCGGTCATCTCCTGGACACCCATCTTAAGAAAGAGAGAATCGGTCGGTCAATCATTTTATCATTCATTTTTTATCTTATGACCGACCATTTGATTCTCTCTTTTCTTAAAGATCCAGGGTGTCCAGGGAATCCATCGGTCGGCCTAAAGGTGCGCACAATCAACGATTGAAGAAAAAGAAAGGAAGCAATCGTTGAGCGCACCTTTATTAGAGCCGACATTATCGATGGATTCGTAAACGATTGTTGACATCAATCTTCTTATTCTTCCGCTTTCTTATTCTCTTCTTTTATGTGTTGGCAATTAATAAGAGACAAGCCAACACATAGAAGAGAATAAAGCGGAAGAGAAGATTGATAACATTCGTTTACATGAACACATTCTCACAATAAATTAATTTTAATAAATATTTTCTCTAATTTCCTGATGAAATTAGAAAGAAGAAAATATTTAAAATTAAAATTAATTATTGTAAGAAAATGTGTTCCTTTCCTTTACTTAAAGAAAAATAGAAAATAAAATTAAAATTTAATGCCAACATGATTTCATCTTGAGGATGAAGTTGGCATGATATTAAATTTTAATTTTATTTTCATTTTTCTTTTTAATAAAAGAAAGAAAACAAATTAGGAAGAAGAAGAAATAGAAAAATGAGTTTTCAATCAAAGATTGATATTTTTCTTTTATTTCTTCTTCTTCATTTGTTTTCTTTTTTCTTTTATTAAAAGTAAAGGAAAGAATCAGGAGATCATTAATTGTTTTCTTTTCTTTTCTTAAATACAATTAATTATTGATCTCCTGATTAATTTCCTGTTGATAACTTTCATTTTATTATTGTGGCTCAACAATAAGATCAAGACAGAGCCACAATGAAATGAAAGTTATCTTCAACAGGAAATTTGTCTCTTCTGGATTCTTCTTTTCTTTATTTTTCTTTTCTTAAATGTGGCTCACAGAAGAAAACAAGATAAGGAAAAGCCACTTTTAATAAGAAAAGAAAATAAATGAAAAGAATTGAATCAGAAGAAGAGACAATGAGGACATCACATTATCAAATCCTATTTCTTTCTCTTTCATTTGTCTTTGTGGGCATCTTGATGATGCATATCCACAAAGAACAAATGAATAAGAGAAAGGGATTTGATAAGATGTCCTCATTCATTCATTGTCTATCAGCGGATCATTAGCAATTAGCAAGCAATTTTCTAGATTAAAGAAAAGGAAAATTGCTGAGTGCTAATGATTCTCCGCTGATATGAAAGACAATGAATGGTTACCTTGACTTCTTCTTTTCTTTTTTAAAGAGCCTGGCGGTTATCATAAGAGCGTCAGCATAAGCTGATTCGCTCCTGAAGAGCCGCTCTTATGACCGCCAGTCTCTCAAAAGAAAAGATTGTCAAGGAAACAGAAAGAAAAAATTACAATTATTTTCCAAGATTTCTTGTTTTACTGTCAGCAAATAAATGAAGAGAAGAAAGATAAGCTGACAGTTAAATAACAAGAAATCTTTAATGGAAAATTAATTATTTTTTCTTTCTAATCGTGTTCTTATTTTTCATTTTCTTTCAGAGAAAATGAAAAGAACACGATTAACCATCAATCATGACCTTCTTTTTTAATATGAAAAGTTAATTGGACGGTTGTTATTTTTCTTTTCGTTTACAGTCCAACTTTTCATTATTAAAAAATAAGTGATCATGATGATGGTGAAAAGAGATTACGGACGGTCCAGTTTTCCTTCTTTTTCTTCTTTCTTGTGGAGCTTGAAGCTTCAATCTACGATTGCCACAAGAAAGAAAAAGAAAAAGGGAAAACAATTGACCGTCCATTAATAATCTCTTTTCCCCAGATTCTCCATTTGAATTACCAGAAGTTAGTAATCCACCGCAGGCATCATCTCTTCTAGAAAATGAATTCTTTATCTGCCTGCGGTGGATCTAACTTCTGGAATTCAAGAGAATCTGGCTTTCCTGCGGAGCTATACACTGTGATGGCCTTACGGCCATAAGGCGGTGAGCTTACAGCTCAGCATCGAAGATGCCCGCCTTGCACTCCGTGCCTATGCTGCCGCAGGCCCCGATAAAGACAGGAATTCTTCAAAAGAGATTCAGGAACACTTCCTATAGATTCATTACATTCCTTTGAAACCATGAAAGAGACTGACAAGAGAGAATTCTAATTCCTTACCCTTTATCATTATTTTTTTAAAAGAAAGAATTAAAGAAAACTATGATGGCATATCAAATGCCAGTTTTCTTTTCTTTCTTTAAAAAATAATAGATTGTGGGAAAGGAATTATCTGGCGGTCACTTAAAAGAAAATATGAGATGTGAGCACGAGGATGGCCATCAGGCCAGGTCTTAGGACCAAGCTCCGCTTTCCACGAATTGTGCTCACATCGTCTCTTTTCTTTTAATTATTGACCGCCAGATGAATCACCGGTCATACAATTATTTTTCTTTTCTATAAAATCTTGATTCCTTGAGGGAATGATCAGACAAGATTTTATTTTAGAAAAGAATAATAATTGTTTGATACCGGTGATTGATTCCTGATCCTGTCCGATCTCTTTTCTGGTCTCACATCTTCTTTGGGCTCAATTCTTTCTTTAATGGAGAGCCCAAAGGTGAGACCAGTTCGATCGGACAGATGATGATCAGGAATCGCAGCTGTCGAGCTGCCAACAATAGAAAGCTTTCTTCTCTCCGGCCAAGATCTCATGCCAGCATTATATTTGTGCGGCATCAGCCATAAGCACACGCTGGCATTAGATTACCTTGGCCGGGAGAAAGCTTCTATTGGCAGCTGCAGCTGCAGATCGGCTCATGAAAAGCAGTCATCTTCGACATCAGGTCGGACAGCTATTGAATCATGAGCCGATCCTTTCCTTTATTTAAAGAAAGAATAAGGGAAAAGGAGGAAGCGAGAGGCACTGTAGTGCCAGTTTGAAGACTGTCTCGCTTGCAATCTCCTTTTCCCTTTTTCTTTCTTTAATAATAAAGGAAAGGAATCAGGATCCTATTTTCTTTCTTTTTTCTCTTATAAATGTTGGCACACAAGAAATTAATGATCATGCCAACATTAAAGAGAAAAAGAGAAGAAAATATAAGGATCCTGATTCAATCCAGTGTGATAATAGCCTGTCCGTACGATGGAAGCAAGCTTTCATAAAGAAAAGCCAACGCTTGCTTCCATCCGGACAGGCATTACGCTCACACTGGATTATTCCTTGACCGCACATGCTTTCCTTCTCTTTGACGGGCAAAAGAAAGAGAGATGAGACTGCCAGTCAAAGGAAGGAAAGAAAATAACGGTCAAGGAATTCTTTTCATTCATGGAATTTTCTGTCATCTATTGGATCAGGAATAACTTTCCCTTCCTTTGCTATCTTCTCCTATTAAGAGCATGAGTGCTCAGGAGAAGATTGATTGCAAAGGAAAGAAATGAAAGTTATTAATTCCTGATCCAATGATGACTTCAAAGAAAATTCCAGAGAATGAAAAGATAAAGAGTTCATATTTTTCTTTTTCCTTTATCGTGTGCATCAGCATCGGCTGATAGGAAAGCACACGATGAAAAAAGAAAAATAAAAGAACTCTTGATCGAAAGAAGGAAATCCAACATTTCTTTATTTTTCTTATTGATCGTGCACTGATGTGCTTGCAGACGATCAATAGAAAGAAAAATAAATGAAAATGTTGGATGAAGACCTCAAGAAAGAAGAAAAGAAAAGAAAAAGAAGTTCGTTCATCAAGGAATAAGAACACGAACTTCTGATAATCTTTTCTTTCTTTCTTTCTTCTATGAGGTCTTCATATTTCCTTCTTTCATTTTCTTTTTAATCTTTTCTTCCATTAACATCTCCATTTCCACCATTCACTTTAAATAAAAGAAAGGGAATTCGTGAATGTTGGAAGAGATGTTAATGATAGAAAAGATAAAGAAAATGAAGACCTGCCATAGACTCTTGGCTTCTGACTCTTTATCTGTTAACCGCTGACAGGCTCTTGAAGAGCAAGCTATGCTTCTGTCAGCTAAATTAACAGATCATCAAGAGTCATTAAGCTCAAGAGTCAGCAGGTCATAGGAATCCATAATTTTCTTTTCTTCTTCTTTCTCAAGAGTGAGCCAATGATTGATGGAGAGCTGCGCTCTGTCCTTCAGGACATGCCATCAATCGCTCACTCTTGAAAAGAAAGAAGAAAAAAGAAATGGATTCCTCATTTACATTTTGATAAAGAAAATTAATCTTTGTTTGTGCGGACGTATAAAAGAAAATAGAAAATAACAGAATGTCCGCACAGATTAATTTTCTTTAAAACAAAATGTAAATTGAGCACACGATGGAATCATAAGACAATCATTTTTTTATTTCCTTTTCTTTTTCTATATTGTGGTGATCGAAGATCAGCTGATCACAATAAAGAAGAAAAAGAAAAGATAAAAAATGATGTCTTTGATTAATAATCGTGTGCTCATGATCCAGCTTAAAGAAGAAAAGCGTTTCGAGCAAGCTCACAAATTCACAAATGCTTGCTCGTGATTGAAACGCTTTCTTCGCTGGATCATAATTCCTTGACGGCTTACGTTTTCATCTCTTAACCTTTGACTGGCGGGCTTAAGGCCCCAATTTCATTGGCCAGTCAAAGAAAAGTTAAGAATGAAAACGTACCGTCAAGGAATGAAGACTCAGTGGGCCCTAAGAAATGAAAGAGAGAGAGAAAAGAATGTGCACATATGATGGCATTGATATGCCTGCGCACAATTAATTCTTTTCTCTTGTTCTCTCTTTCATTAGGGCCCACCAACTATTCTTTCCTTAACAACTT